TAGCTGATACATAGAGCAAATATATACAAGGAAAAACACTTAAAGATGATCTTATTTATGTTATAGTCACTGTTACCTACTGTTTCTTGTCTTGTTTGTGACTTAGGAACAATAGAGTGACAAGCATGGCCTAAAAAGGGTATGAATAATATGACCTAATGTGTTTCCCTCTATTTCTATCCTTTTTGATTCATGAAAGCACTGAAATAATGAGTAAAAACATTCCTATTTTCAGCCAAATTTAAGCATATACTGAAAACTGATCATTGGTATAAGTGCTGTATTAACTAAGGATGGAATTACTCACATGCTTAAGATTAAGTTTAGGTTGAATACTTTCTTCAAGTCAGACACAATTCTGAAGCTTTGATTTGGCAACACAATGCTTGTTATCCCCTTCACAGCTACAAGGCTGAGCCCTGCAAGTCTATTTATAAAGTCTCTTTGGTAATGTTTCCAGTAAATTAGTGACTAATGGAGCTCCTTACAGCTACTACATACTAGATATTAGAGCCTTCGGGATGCAATAGTGCATCACAGAACTACATGGATGAAGGTTACAATGAATGACAGAAATTTTGGATTAGATTGATTTTTGGCTTATATTGAATAAATTTTAAAAACAGGCATAGACATAACATCCTCTTTTTTTCCTTAGAGCTTGTGCCAAAAAAAATAGTAAGTTTGCAAATGGATATTAAGCAATGCCAGATATTTTCTGGGTTTGTTTTAACAAATTAACCCTTTGCATTCTTTTCTGATGTCCAAATAATTGTATTGGAAGCAGATGTTCTACCAAAATTGACATGATCAGAGACATTACACTCACTTATTAACATACTGTTTAATATTCACTACAACCTGTTTTAAAGAACAACAATGTGTTAACATTTAAGCCAGGAGGGATTTCTGTACACTATATAGTACTTGATGCAGCTTGTTTATGCAACAGTCTGACAGATACAATTAATCTCATGAAAACGACCAGAGTACAGCATAATGGCATATTATTTTTGAAGGAATACAACACACTTTCTTTTGGAAATCAGAACTTAATTAAATCATATAACTTCAGGATGCAGAGAAAAGCTGTAAAAGAATGAAGCTCTTTCTGAAGGACAGCTGAATGAAAAACCAGTAGATCTTTTTTACAGAGGGAATAATAGGATAATCTCCAAAATAACAGAAAGAAGTAAGAAATACCTCCCACAAATGCATCTCCAGCTCCATTGGTATCCACAATTTCACTCTGATCACTCACCAACACAGGGAAAGTAGTAACTTCATTTTCTGTGGAGGAAGGGAAGGAAAAAAACATGAGTTACTTGAAAATATGACTTAGAAAAGCATAACAAACAGTGAAAATCAAAGATTTCAAAACTGGGCTCTGACCTTTAACGTGATAATTTGGATAAAAATAGATGGAGTTAATAATTCTTTCTGTATTTTGTGTATGGGAACACATTGGACCAAGCTATTTGTTGTAGGCATTCTCCTTATTTACTTCCAGCCTCATTTATTTTCTCTACCTCCTAATATTAAGGACAAGAGAAAAAAGTAAATCAGGAGGAACTACATAAAACACCTGGGCATATGGACAAGACTAAGAATAATCCATCTTGCCAAAACCAGTGCTTCCTATTAGTTGCAGAGAGGTGATGTAGCCTCCAGAATGGCCAGCACAAGCCTCCAAAAGGTCAGGAGGAACTGCTGCATTGTAAAAACCAAAATACATGCGAACTAAGTAAAATAAAGCTGTGAAATAAAAAGCAGAAACAAGTGTAAATGCAAGTGCTCTCAAATTACATCTTTAAAAAATACCCATATATGTAAGAAGCTTTGCAACTTGCCATCTGACTAGATTTGGTTTCAAGATTTCAATGACTTCACCCTCTTCTTTAGCATTTCTTTAAAAAAACCCCAACTATTTCCTTCAGCTCCCTGCCCTCTACTGGCACTCGTTAAACCTATCCCAATAGGTGGATACTCAGCATCTTCACCTCCAATTCATTGCCACACCACAGTTCAACATAATTACACCACTTAGGTATGATAACTTTAGAGTTCTAGGGTTATAAATTTAATATATGCCACTAATTAATCAGCTATGGCTTTCCAGGTGGTAATGTCATAATGACGTGATAAAAATATAATTACCACCTTGTCACAATACCTTGTTAAAGTGTAAATTACCCCTGTAACAGAGCCAATGGAAGTTCTGCCTCTGGTAGTCAGTATGCATTAAACTGTCTCAGAGCAAACAGATTGTCCTTTGGCAGACAGCAG